CTGTAACAAAAATATTAATTATATCATGATACATGTACTTACCTGTTAGATGAAAAATAAGACTTAAATGCATTTTTCAGCTAAACTCCAGTCTGCAGGAATAGTTTATTGTTGGCACTCAGCAAATTTTGTATCAGGTGATTACGAGAACATAATAATTATAACCCCTTAATGGAACAAGAAACTCATTGTAATATACCACTGGTACTACAACTATTCAATAATATATGCATACTTAATCGCGCTTTGATTAGCGTTAGTTTTCTTTATTTAAACTGTAAAACACAATTATCTTTAAGGGGTTGGGTTAGAAATTTAACAATCAAAAGTCGATATAAGATTTTGTCACTTTCAATTCCAATATTCATTTTCTTTATTAACCTTCACACATGATGCTTTCTTTTATGTTATTTAAGAAAAAAATATTGTAGAATTTTCTTTAAGCGCGAATTAAAAAAAATAATCAAATTAACATTATGAGGAAAAAATATATTTATAAATTGAAATCAAAAGGATTGAAGTTCGTGCTTTTATATACGACAGGTGACACTCAAATAGTGACACTCAAATATAAAGATTAATTCAATATTAATTAAAGCTTGAGCGATATGATATGTATGCGACAGGCAATGCCTTTTTTTCGTCTTACTTTTATGATTTTTGCAATTCATTCTGTAATTAGACAAAAAAGATGAAACAAGATATGTTTATGAAACACTGATGCCCCCGTATGACAACATAGCGAAGGTTAAACTTTTCTTATATGCAAATTTAACCCCCTTCCCCGCAATCACGCATTTTAACGCATATACCATTTCCTATTTCTAACGCAAAATCACGCATATACCGTTTCCCCGCAATCACGCATTTTCACGCACTTTAAAAAGTTCATTGAATCTTTAATTTAATGCCAATTTCCTTCTATTTCATACTTGCAAAAATCTTATGAAATAAAAAAAAAGTTTTTTTTGTATTAAAATATAACGTCATAATATTATTTACGCTAAACTTTAGAAACGTGTACCACGATAAAAGGTTCTTGCGGGGAAATGGTAAATTTCTATTTCCATGACGTGACCATTAAATGTTTGTTGCATAACAGTTCAGTAAGTTGTAAAGAGTTAATATATTGTTATCCAAAGTGTGGTATTCTCACTGGATATACAATTGTGAAATATGAAAGTAGGTCAAGGTTTAAGTTTTTTTAATAAGTACGGAAATATCCAAGGTCAAGGCAATTAGTATCAAATGAAAGGTCTTGGCACAAAGAATACATATGTGAAGTATGGAAGCCATAGTCGCAACCCTTCAAAAGTTATGGCCAAGGTTACCGATTTTAAAAAGTAGGTCTAACTCCAATGTCAAGGTCAAAGGGTTATAATTCTTAATATCAAATGAAAGGTCTAGTCACACGACTTACATATGTGAAGTATGATCACTAGTCCTTAGAGTTCAAACGTTATGGCCAAGGTTAACTTAATTCATAAGTACGGAAATCTCCAAGGTCAAAAGGTCAAGGTTATTGGTATCTAATGGAAGGTCTTGCCAGAAAAAAAATAAATACGTTAAATATGAAAGCCCTATCCCAAACCCTTCAAAAGTTATGGTCAAGGTTACCAATTTTGAAATTTAGGTCAAACTCCAAGGACAAGGTCAAAAGGTCAGATTTGGTGGTACCCAAACGAAGATCTTGTCACGAGGATGAAAAATATAAAGTATGAATGCACTAGCCCTAAGCCTTTAAAAGTTGTGGTCATGGTTTGCTTTTTAAAAGTAGGTCTAACTCCAAGGACAAGGTCAAATGGTCAAAGTTGTTGGTATCAAATGAAGGGTCTTCTCACAAGGATTACATATGTGTATGAAATATGAATTCCCTATCCCTTACTGTTCAAAAGTTATGGCCAAAGTTAAAGTTTTTTCATAAGGACGAAAATCTAAAAGGTCAATGTCAAAAGGTCATGGATGTTGGTATCCAATGAAAACTCTTTCTAAAACAATATTTGTGTGACATATAAATGTCTTGATATCTACTGTTCAAAAGATATGGCCAAAAAAAACTTGGAATTTTTGAGTAAAAATGGGTCAAACGCAAAGGTCAAGGTCAAATTTGGTGGTACCTAAAAAGGTCTTGTCACAAGGAATACACATTTGAAATATCAAAGTCATAGCTCCACTAAATCAAAAGTTATGGGCAGGGTCAAAGTTTTTGCAGACAAACAGACAAACAGAGAGACAGACAGACGGAGACGACAAAAACTATATACCCCCGAAACTTTGTTTACGGGGACATAAAACAAAACAAGAGAAATCCACCTCATTAATATTTTTGAACTTACAAAGTTCAAGTTTTTTTTAAAGTTCAATGTAATTTAATACCTAGGTCTAGATCAAATGGTCAAAGTTGTTGATATCCAATGGAAAACTCACCTAGAATGAAAGCTCTAGGCCTAACTGTTCAATTGTTACACATATGACCAATGTTGAAATTGGGTACAAATATGCAAAACTAAGTAAGTGCCCAGGACCAAGATCAAAAAGTCAATTTTGCGGTAGCAAAAGAAATTCTTTTTACAAGAATTAAACAATTGTAATATGAAAATCATACCCTCAATATATCCAAAGTTATTAGGCAAGGTTAAAATTTTTGCAGACAGACAAACAGATTTACAGACAGACAGAAAAAAACTGGTTGACGGACAATGCAAAAATGACTTCCCGAAACTTCGAAAACAGGGGCTTAAAAAGCAATAAGTTCTATCAAAAATTTACTCAGTTAAAAAAATGCATAGTATAAGGAAATTAATCATTTTCATTTCTTTATGTAAAAATGAGTATTTTATAAAAACCAAAACTGCGTCTTAAAACATTAAGCGTAAACTATTTCTCTGAGGAACAAATGATTTTTCAAGAATGTCTCTTAACTAAAAAAATAAGGATAGATTGATTTATTTAATTGTTTGATGTTCTGACCTTAATTTTATATGTAATTGATAACATTTGCGCATTTTTTTTTCTTCTAAAACATTCGTTCAGATCCCATAATCTAATGAATACAAAACTGTTATTCTTATTCACCTTTAGTCAACGCAGTTGTTGACAAAATAGAAACAAATAGCGCAAATCCAAATCTTGTTTGTTTAGAACATTCTCTTTTAAACAGAAAGATGAAAAATAAGCAAAATAGAAAAATATTTCTTTTTCCATTTAATATGAATGATTAAGATAAAACTAGCAAAACAAACTAATATTAGATACATAAATTACGATGAAATGACACCCTTTAGGACATATCCGATTTCCTTAAAGTAGGAACCCTGAAAAAGATGAAATCGTTACTCAGTATTCAGAAACATTTTACGTAGTGAGCATTAAAAATGGCATTTAACACGGTTAATATATTTTGGGAGGAACATTGTCTTAAGCTCCCTCACCGATATTTTGATTAGATAAACTATAATCCTTGTCAAAGCTCCTCTATTTCTTGAAGATTGCAAATCAATCAATTTAGCATTTTGTGAACTTGATAATATCAATTGTACAACTTTAATATCAAACACGTGGTTTGTTGCATGAGAGAGATTTGTAGCATTCTAATAAATCAATTTTAAACATGATTAAAAATACATTCCGCTCACGACCTTTCTTCTGCATGTGAAATAATACTCAATCATTTTAATTGAAGGTCATCTAATTAAAAAAATAGAAATCAATCCTTAAGATCTTTGTGTTACGTGAAAATAAAAAAAAACTTTTGAGGAGTGTAGTATTGTTTGTAATAATAGTTTGCTTACATTGACTTCTTTTGAAATTCCATATTTAATTAGAAATGGGAATCAAACTACTCCTTATTGTAAATATATTGATTTTCTATTTTTAATCTAAGAAATTTAAAAATATGTATATTTGTTAAAATTAAAAATGAATTTCACATGCCGTTGAAGTCGCACATTTTCTTGGCGTCAAATGCTTGAAGAAAAATTTTGATTTGTTTGGCCATCGAGAAAAATAGATATAAAAGTATTTGATAATAATTAAAAAAACTTTTGAAAAAAATTAAAGAACTGTGGCGTTATGAATTTATTTTTAAGTCTCTGTTCATAGCATTATGGCAAAAGACTCAAATATATTAGTAAAACCATACCGCCATAGTTCTGCCGTCAAGTCTAAGTTCAAAAATGCACCCTTACATGTACATATATTTGTTTGTAGAGTGGTTCGTTTTCTTTTTAATGACAGGCATTTTTGAGACTTTTGGTAAATGTTATTTTTTTTCGGTGGTCATGATATTAACCCGAGGGAAACCTTATTTTAAACCATTACTTATATAATTAAGAAGTTCCCCTGAAAATTACAATGTATGTGAAAATATTATTCAATTTATATTCTTTTCTGTCGTCAATAAATTAATCATTGAAGAAATATAAGCAGAAAGTAAATAATTTTATTATAAAACACAAATTACAAAGTGTTAGAAATTTTTGACTGACAGTCATCATGCCTTTTTGTGTTTTTGTGTTTTTATCAAAGGTCAACAATAAGATCGATTGGGATGGAGGAACGTAGAAATGTTAACAAATGACAGATTACCATTCTGTTTATCTTTAGAATTTACTATAAAACTAACATATATGCATTGAATTTTAGTCATATTTAGAAGGACCTTTAGACCTCGGACATAAAAGGTATGTTTCTCTTATATTTGTTAATGAAAATTTAAAAGCATTCAAACATTCCAAAGTTCAAATTGTCTTATTAAAGGACTTATCTTTATGGCTATTTTTTTTCATGAGGAATACCAAAATTATTGTACTATATCAAAGGCAGCATTTAATTGAAACGCTTTCATGATTTGCATGTATTTATATTCATTTTAAACTGTTTTAGAAAAAAATGTAAACAGTAGCAGATCTGTATGTAAAAGTTAATTATGTCAGGCTTTTTTAAAAGAAATAATCATCTTCCAAAAAATTACAAATAAATACTTTGTATTTTAGATAAGGCCACCATGCAGAAAATAAGTATTTTTCTGTTGGTTTCGGCTTCCTATTTTTCGTCAACTATTCTTGGACAGAACTTTTTTGGTTCAGAAAACACAATAGGAGATGTGCTAGGGCGTCAACTAAGTGAAGGGAGCGCAGTTACGCCCACTGCAACTGTTTTGCCCGCAACCCAAACCGTGCAAAATCCTCTAGGTAGGGTACAATCTACAAGCAATGTATTTTCGCCTTTAGGAAGAAATGGACTTTGGACCTACGATCCATATCGATTCTCATCTTGGAATCCGAGGTTTGGTGGACTTTATGATAATGATTATGATGATTATTTTGACAATAGGTTTAATAGATTCTCAAACAGATACTCCGGACGTGGACTTCGACGTTATCTACGAAATTTGAGAAGGAGGTCAAACCGATTTGATTCTGATGAATCCGGAGAGAGAAGGAATTCTTGGACAAATTTATACAGGTCTATGAATAGAAGAAGAAGACGATTTGGCTCAAATTCAGATAGCAGCAACGAATCCGGTGAAAGACGTTGGGGGATCTACAATAGATATAATCGTCGCGGAAGATTCGGTAGCGATTCTAATGAAAGGTGGGGCTCAGGAGAAAGAAGACGAGGAATTTTCAATCGATCTTATTTCGGACGACGATGGAGAGACAGTTCAGAGGAGAATTCTGGGGAAAGATTCAGATCTCCATATTATCCATATAGGTATCGAAGACGCGGTTCCGGTTCCAACGAACGATTTGGAAGATGGTCTAGATACAGGAATCCGTATTACAGAGATGATTCGGATGAAAGGGATGGGCTGTACAGGAATAGATTCAGAAATTATCGAAATGTCATTTCTAGACTGAACTCGCGTAATTCATTTAATTCTCCATATTACAGAAGGTATAATCCTAACAGACTGTCCTTATTTGGGGGCAACTGGAACAGGTACCGGTGGTAATTCTGTTTAACATTTCCTGCCTGATTTTGGGCATTTTCATGAAACACTGTGTAATTCACAATTCATAATTTTTAGAAACGATGTAATCTAAATTTTTGAAGAAAATGTGATTTTAGCTTGAATAAAAATTTTAGACACAATTCTCTCTCTCTCTCTTTGGGGGATGGGGGTTTGGAGGAGTGTGGGAGGGTGCTACCTGGTATCTTGAAGCAAAATAAATCAAGCCAATAAAGTAATCTTAAGAATTTTTTTTAAAAACCTCTTAATCATTATAAACTATGAGAAACCCCAAACATCGTCAAAATCCTTTCCAATTGATTCTTTTGATTAATTCCATCTGATGATCAAATATACTTTTTGGTGACATTCATTGTTTTATTTAAAAATAAAATACGTCTATTTGTCAAATACTATGGGCCTTTTGTTTGTTTGTATTTGTGTGTCGAGGTTGCAGGTTAGAGGGTGAAGGATGTTGGTCAACATGAAAAGCTTATTTTGCTCGAAATCTAATTAAAACTTTGGAACCTCCTGAGGCTTGTACAACAATGCAAGCGCTTGAAAATATATCTGTTGGAGGTATAAGGAATTTTTTCGAGAACTCGCGAACGTTCGCTCTTTTGAACAGGCATCTAGCGTCGCAGTTTTATTCCCAATTCAGTCAAATCTGTGTTTTCTGTTTTTAAGGCTACTTACTCCTTATCATAAGATTCACACAACAAAATGAGTATAAGTAGAAAGAAACATTTATCTAAATAGTAATTTACGTAATATATTATAACGTAATATAACGAAATAAAAAAGAGGTATATTTTCTCTGAAAATCGTGCTTTTTTTCACACAACTACTCTGTAGTTGTCTTGTATATACATACATATTACTTCCTGGTTTAAAATATTCATTACATTTTTGGAGACCAAATTTCCATCCAATGTATTAGAATCTAGTAATGTAACAGTTGTTACAAGTGAAAATAAATTCATTTGTTGTTTTTCAATGAAGTAGAACTAACTAAATGTATTTTCGTGAGCTTTTCGTCAAGTTTTTTTTTTACCTAATATGAATTATAAATCGGTGCATGATTTTTTTTGTCCTGCGTTGCTTTGCTATGCATTGCTTTGATTAATCTCATTGAACGCGATATTAAAGACTAAAGCAAATATAAACTAGTCAAAAACATAATCCAAGTCTACATACAATGTAAATACATGTACGAGGGTTGTCCCAGAAAAACGTAAACTTTCTGAATATGTCAAACACTAATCAACCAAAAGTAATAATTTTTGACATGCTGTTTGGAAATCATCTTTTAGATACTCTGACAAAATATCATAGGCCTGTGATGTCATATGCAAATAAAATTTAACAGCATTTAAATGATGTTAAATATCGGTGGTCGGCGCGCGACAATTTCTCTTGACTTTTACGAATAGCATTGTGAATGAAGTTTTCGTTGTTATCAGACTACATGACAATATGATTATGACAATTCTACTTACATAAATACTCTATGATTTGGTGTACTTGTGTTTAAAATTTCATTTACTTGACATCATTAATGAAAGATATATGACGATATATACCAAAGCGCTTTCAATTACAAAAATTGTGACGTTACATGTAAGCGGTAATGTGGAGCACCAAATTATTAAGCAACACAAAGTTGAACAGGATATGACTCTTGTACATAGAGAAAAAAAATATCATTCAACGATGAAAAAACACAAAGATAACTGTAGGTAACAGGTTTATATCTGTAGAAGAGGTTTCAGGTTGACTTTACTGGTTATCCGATGGAAGAGAATAGACCACATTAATAAAAACAAACTGAAAAGGCAAGATAGAGCGGGACGTCATAGGCCTACGTGAAGACCGCTGTTAAATAATTCGATCACGTAGGTTTATGATCGGGATTGTGAAATTGTCAGTTGAAAGAATTAACTACTCAATCTTTTAGTAACAATAGTATTTAAGATGTATAACTTAGTAACTAAAACAAAATTAAATACATTGCCGAATGTGTGCTTAAATGAATATTTATAGAGGCACAGTTTCCAGAACAAATTCGTAAACACAACGAGATACGTTTTGACGTCGTCAGTGTTGCGCCGACAGCTGATTTGATATAATCGTTTACCTAAAAGGAAATAGAGATATTTCACTGAAATTTTTAGGCATCATTCAAAAAATGTAATGTTGATCATGATGTATGCCAACTTTTAATTTTATAGTCCTAGTTAAACAAAAGATATTGATAATGTTCGCGTTTTTCTGTAGCAACCTCATATTCTATTTGCTTCTAATTTTCATGTCTCACTGCATTGTAGCTGGGGAAAAATATAATTTATGAGCAAATATTACACGCCGTAAATTTAACCAAAAAAAAAATCTAAAGTACACAAAAATAAGCAAAATTCTAATTTGTCTCTTTGCATGTTGAAGTAGAAGATATATCACAATTAGAATTAATTAATGGTGACGAATTGAGTATTCGGTTCTTTTATGTTCACATCATTGTAAAGGCTTTATTTACAAGGCCGGGTTTAAACGTTTGCTGTGACATCAAAATAATAATAAAATATAAATACCACTAGGTAAAAATACATAAATTGCGCTTTAACCTGTAACCAAGGATTTTCTTAACTTCTACGAGAAAGAAAAAAAAATAATGTTCTCAATATTGTTTCTCGTATCATATCGTTAGTTAATTCAGATAAACAGTATACAAAATACTAATCACAATGCAATTTCTAGCCTGACATTTTCCTAGGTAAAGTTGCTGAAAGGAGGAGGTAGGGTAACAGACTAATCTGGCCCCTTATTTGATTTAAAAATCGGTAAAGTTGTGGTATGTTGTAGTTAAGAACATAAAATGATGCCTGATTCAAAACCAGCACTGATTTGGATTCAAAGCTTACAAGGAAGCTATTATGGGGTGCAGAAGTCGGATAGTTTTCCAAATTTCTTCAATTCTGGTGGAATTTCATCATAATTGAGCTGCTTTTACTTCGGTGAACAAAGGTCACAAACTTGCCTGTCTGAGATTTTCACACATAAACTGCAACTGGAACTAGTGAATAAAATATATAAATTTGGTAGATAGGCAAGCTTGTGCTCTAGGGTTTCCGAAGCAAAAGGTGCTTTAAAATCGATGAAAAATGAAAAAAATTCGAAAATTGACCTATATTTTGATCTTCCTGTGACCTCAATGTATTCCCAAACTTAGAACCAATACTCATTTTGTGGCAGATATGACAACAGATTTTTATGGATAAACTGTTGCATCATTCTGAAAGACACCCAAAATAAAGGGCCAGAAATTGGTCAAAGCATATCTTGTCCTTTATGTTAAGGGTCACGTAAAAGCGAAAGAAATTATCTTTCATGGTATTTAAAAAGATGTTGAGTTATCAGCAGGATAAGTTATATAATACAGTAAAGACATTTTCTGACAAAAAAAAACCAGGCAACTTGCCCAGGATTTTTAGGACAACACTCGTATTTGTTAGTTGTCCCTAATCGTCCAAAGTCATTAAAACATCAAATTACTAACCATTGGTGACAGACTTAGAGGTGTATTCTATTTATTTATTTATTAGTTCTCTGGGATCAGATCTAGATAGAGTCGACATATGACTGAAAATAACTATTGTTAATTTATTATAAATCGTCGATATATCCAAAGGTCAATTGAAGGTCACATGAAATGTTTTTGTCATGTTTTGTAGAATTTTATTAAAAATACGAGCATTTTATTTCATGGGAGTAATAAAGAAGTCTGCTTGTAAAGGAGTACAGTATGTGGCCAATTTATTACAAATATTATGTTTAAAACTACAATATAAATGTTGTGAAAAATGAATTCCATTATTCCTTTGAAATCAATTTTAGAGTACTTATATTTACAATCAGACTCATATTTGGAATGACCATTTACAATATATATGTGAAAATTTTCTGAGTTTTGGTATTAATGAAGGAACAATTGTATACGATAATAAAAATCTTTATTTTATTTATCATGAGAAATTGTTGTTTAAACATTTTAAAAATGTATGTATCTTTCATGTTAATAAGGTTTGAAAAAGGTCATTTTAAAGTTTTTCAAAGTTCTTTAGCGTTATTGGGAATCCATATCTTAAAACATTGTTTTTGACTGCATAATACACAAAAAAATTATACCCGTTCCAAGCGGCAAAAAATGGTATTGTAAATCGAAGATTTTTTACCACTTTTTGATCTGCAGTCCTCTGTTTATATATCCCAATTTTCCCAAAGAGAGAACAAATAACGTCTGAAGTACTTATAAATTTTAAAAAAAGCAAACATTTAGGGTTGACATAGCATTAACTGGAATTGTACGAGTTTTCAAGAAGTTTGGGAATAAAGTGAAAGAAAGAGTAGATCGAACTCACCTTCATTGACTGGTATATATTACATGTGAAAGTTTTTAACAATGTGATTATGAAGAAATTATACTTCCCTGGAAAGAGAACTGTGGGTACATGGATATACTGAATTTGGAGTCGTAGAAATGATTTTTTTCCCCAAAATACAGTTATGAAAAGTCTTACACAAAGAAAATATTGTAACAAACCTTTTCTAGATCTCCTGAAGCGATACCATATTGTTCATGCAGTTTCTCCTAATCTTTCATCGGGATATTCATGACCGTAAAAGCTCAAAAAATGTAATCAATTATAGCAGCGCTTTTCAAGCTGTAACGAGCGAAAGCTTTTTTTCTCAAAAATATTTCAAAAATGGCATATTTTGTAAAAGTTTATATCTTTGCAAAAAGCGATAAGGAAAAGGCTGTTTACGATATCAATATACATTGTACCGAGTATCTTCATGAAAACTACATGAAAACTACAAAAAATGTTCTTTATCAAACTACCTCAATAAGTCCAATTTCATTTTTTTTTAAATTGTATTTTAATCACTTTCAGTCACATTCAGTCTTTACTATATACTGTAAAATAACATATTTTCTTTGGGTCAAATTTTCGAGGTTTGAGGAAAAGATATTGGTTTGTGGGAATTTGATTTCATGCTTGGAGAATGTTAAGTATGTAATTCATATGGAATTTTACATTTCGTTGTGGTCATACATTCGTGGGTCTCTCAATACCTCAAAAACAAAAAAATAAAAATAAACAGTACATTTTTTGTTACTTCCAATGTCAGATTTTCTCAATCTTTCTCATTTTCACTCATCGGATCTGTGATAAACTGTTCGGGTCTCATGGACAAGGGATAAAATACCAGAGACATATATTTCATTCATGTAATTTATAACTTCCAAAACTGTCGAGAAATTGGCTCATTTGATATTGTAATTTAAATTTGTTAACTTACTCTAGAACTTAAAATTATCTTTCAAAGTAAAGATTTAATCTTAAGATATCAGGTTCCGTTTAACAAAACACTTGTGACATAGACAAAAAAATTCATAGCTTCTTCACATGAATTTAAAAAAAAGTTGTAAATTTTCAGGAAATTTTCAGGAAATTATCAACCATCAAGATGATTATTCAACTGATATAACATCCACTCCTGAAATGTTGTGCATGTATGTGGTAGACCTTTAGTTTTTATTATTTTTATTAAAATGATTTGATCATGCAATCTAACCCAGTCTGATTTATTGTGTCGCCAATTACGTATTATATGATAAACTCAACATTTAAAAGTACGGTCAAATTATTTTATAATAAGTAAACAAGACAAGATTTCTTTTAATAAATAAGCAGTATTATGATCCAACAATATTCTTTTTTTAAATTAATATACATAAATGTTGCATTTAATCTTGATGTAAGGGATCATGCCATATCAGTCTCTACTAAAACAATTCGGCGGTTCTCCTTTCTAGCGCCATGTTTCCCTCCATTCTTCTGCTTTGAGGAGTGAGCGAAATACGGTCCATGGAATCCTCGAAGACATCCCTTCTTCCAGCATCAAGGCGTGACAACATTGGATCAATTTGTCTGTCGTTTGACAATGATCTCAGCCTTTCCATATTATCTGCAATTCTGTTCATTATCGTTCGAGACATATCGTATCCCCGGCCAAGTGACATTTGAGAATCTGAAGAATCCAGAATACTTTCCCTTCTCCCGAGTTGCATATCATTTTCAAATCCAGAGGTTGGGAAACCACTTAGACCACCAACAGACATATCATCAGTAAAAGGATCCATTCTGTTGAACCTGCGGGATTCTAGCCCAAGATCATCGAATAATGTAGAAGGGTACCTTTGGGAATTCGAAAAATACTGTGAAGATAAAGAATCAGAAGGCATATAACGTCTGTCTAAGAGAGGATCTTCTCGATCAGGTGAAAAACCTCTTAAAACATTGGGCAGGATTCCAGCATTTTCGTTCATTGTAGGATTACGAAATTGATCATATCTAGAGTAAATATCTTGATTAGGAAGAATATCGGAATTTGCTTGTGCCATTTGTTGTCTGACTATACCACTGAGGGATTGAATAGCATTAATAAGTGGTTGGTAAAATGATCCTGAAAGAAACTGATCATACCCAAAATTTTCATAATTTTGAGATGAGTCTACAGTAGGAGAACTAAAAGGTGACATCTGCATGGACTCCAAATTGTTTAAAGCGTTCATAGTAGACATTCTCTGTTCATCAGCTAACCTTAACAGATCAGCTTCATTTCCCAGATCAAGGTTATTCAGTTGTGAGTCAAAGGCGCCTGAGCCTAATCGGGATGTTTGTCTGTCGTCTACATATCTAAAAGGGTCTGCAGTAGTTATGTCTTGTTGATCTACAAAACCTGACAAACGTTGGTCACTTCTAACGTCTCGAAAATTGTCCAAAACATCATTGGAAGGTTGACCAAGACGATACATATCTAATTCATCATTAGGGATTCTCATCCGTCCAATGTCTAGATTGTTAGGCAGGCTTAATGAAGACATTCTCTGTTGGTCAATCATTCCGGACAAGCCTTGGTCATTTCGTGAGTACAATGGATCGTCGAAGCGTCCTTCGCGATATTGCATTGATCGGTCTAGATCAGCTCCCATATAACGCTCTCGCATTAGACTATCATCTAAATTGCTCATGCCATCAACAGGTGTTGCGGGTAAGATTTGATCGTTCTCTAGATTACGCAAACTGGTCATATCGCCATCCACCAAGCTTTGCTGACCGCCGAAGTTGGGGTCCATACGGTCATTGAAAGGGTCTGTCAGAAGTGGCTCTTGTGCAGCTGCTGAGACTGCCAAAATGGCGAAAATTATCTTCTGCGCCAACATTTGTTTTTCTACATAAAAAAACAATAAAATTATTTTTAAAATTTCCTCCTATTAATTATTTGATTAAATACGCAAAGGTGAATCTATTATTACTAATATCCACTTAATAAATATGAATATATATGCGAAAGATTAAAGCCTATTGAAATTAAAATAAAATTCAAAAAAAACAAGATTTATGATTTTCCTACCTCTCAGTGTTCCTGTAAAGAAAGAAATGGCAGACAGCGAAATACTGTTAATTAAGATACTTATATTATCTCAATTGGAACACGTCATTGTGGACAGCTAATTAATGATGATAAATCTTAACTAATTACTTCAGTGTTTGATGTCCATTTGACCGTCTCCACTAAAGAGAAATGAAATACCATTGGCTGTGCACGAAACAGCAGATAACAGAATGTTCGTTGCTCCTCACTTTATCTCTTTACAGATGAAGATTTATGACCAAAGAAACCTGTTTTTAACCTCAATCTGCGTTTTTATTTGTCTTATTCACTTGGCATATTTTTGGTGCTTTTTAAAATTTTCTTTTGAAAGCTTTATCTTTTTTTTTCAATGCGTTTTAGCTCTTGAAAATATAATGAAACATATATGAAGATAACGAACAGTATTCAAGATGAAAGGTCTTTGAAAGAATATAAAATAGGTGCAGAGCAGACACGGACCTCCAAAACATCAGAGGTTGAAGCAGGTTGCAACAACGAATAAATTTCACCTAATCTTTCCGCACGCTTGAAAACAGACTAAGACTTGGAAAAATGTGATGAAATAAATTTGAAATAATAAAGCTTAAGTTTAATAAGTAATTTTAAAGCTGTAACTGTTACTTGGTGTCACAAAAAACTTAATATATGCATGTTTTCATTTTTTCTAGACGGACGTTATAAATTAATAATCAAAATACAATTTGTGTAATAAAAAAACATAAAACATATACATAGAACCTACGAATATATATGAATGACTTTCAAAGATAACAATTCATCAAAGAAAAATACAAATACTTTACTTTTTCAACTTTTTAAAATGTATTTCTTATAAGCAGATAGTGCAAGAAATCATCAATCACTTTTAAAATGTGAACACGTGTGTTTCACATTTTCTTACATGTTTTTGAATAATTACAATACCTAATTGTTCTTAATTAAAATAAAGACAGGATAGCAATTTAACTTTAAAAAGTTGGTCAGTCGGTCATACGATAAATTATTCATATATATAGGAATTTTAACCGTATTTTAGAGTCGGTCAACTATGTTTTTCCATCAAATAGGAAAGGTTTAATGTACGAGTAGCGCTCCATTCCTTAAAAGTAATGGAGCCGAGGCCCCGAAGGTGCCGAAGCCCATTACTTTCAACAGTTTCATTAGCTCAGTGAAATGAGTACCGGATTTCTAAGGTGAGGGTTCGATTCTCACCACGGGTACTATAATTTTCTTAATGTAAAACTAAACTTTACAAATTTCTTAAACTCTTCTCTAAAATTTTCTAAGTTCTGTCCTCGGTAGCGGCACGGAAAGTAGAATAAGACCATAACACATTCCGTTTTTAATGGAATTTGCAACTCTCCATTTCTGAAGAGTAATGGAGCGCTCAAACAAAAGAATGACGTCACAGGTGGATTTTCAAAAGAAGAATGTTTCACTAAATATTTTGAAAAAGAAGTTTTTGAAATTATTAACTATGAGGCCAATAAGAAAGTAAATTATACGACAAATAAGAAGAAGTCAGCGTTTCCATCGACAGCATTTTTAAATGCAGAAATATTCTGATATCACTTTCATTTTGGCAACAATTGGGGATGCTTTTATCTCCTAGGCACCTGATTAATACTCTGGAATTTTAAGGGTCCATGTTCATTTGTTTTCATACTTTAGTATTATTCATAGATTGTTTAAAGATAGATTACTCTTCGTCATTTTATTCCCATTCAGAAAGGTTAAGTTTAGGGTAAAATAACAAAAGAAGCATGAAATAAAGTAGATAACAAGAACAAATAACAATAAAAAATTCTGTTCCGAAGAAAAGTTGTCCGGATACTGAAGCATCCGGATATCTGGCGTCCGGATATCTGAGGGTCCACTGTAGATAACCAACAGTTAAGCACAGTACAGAATCACGCTCACACGACATATAAGATAAATCTAAGGATAGTTTACACAATCGTACAAACACACAAATACATGTACTGATTTAACCTAATAAAATAAGCTTCCGAGGTAGGTTTAATCTACTCATTGAATATCACAGTATATACTTGAATTCTATGATAAAGATTTTGATTTATGTATAAAATGTTATACTGCATTCTTTTTAGCTATTCGATGTATGAACCCTACAATTTAATCCTAACATTCTTCATACCAATGTTTTGCAAAATAAAAAAAAAACATCAAATTTCTATATAATTTACTGTTGAAAAGAAGTTAGACAATTTACATTTCACATATAATTTGCACATAAGTTGAAAAGCAACGTTATATAAAGCTCATAATTAAATTCGAGTTCAAAGGTTATAGTAAATGTTTTTAGGTCACAAACATTGAATGCCGTGCAAAATCTGATAGGTCACGCTCACATAAAAAATATGTATAAACACGGGGTCTTCGATCAATTGTAACCAACTCGAAAGCTTATAAAGAAGTTTTGAAAAATAAATAACATTTTTAAGAAATTCAAGGAGTAAAAATGTAAATGTAAGTATAGAGCCATTATTTTTTTTAAAGATATATAGTCTCATATACATTTAACTACAAAGACAAACATATTTTCAAAACATATACTTACTCGCCTCAATCAATCTGATTAAACACTGTTGCAGTTATAAGACTATAGCTTTCAAATGATAAATATTCAATGCATAAATAAACAATATTAATATTCAGTTTATGAATACATCATTATGCCAAAAAAGTTTTGCATATTAATTAAGAACAGACACTTATACCACTATCTGTACATTGGCACGATTGGATTTTGAATATTTTTAAGAACAAAATATTTGTTACTGTACATGTGTTCATAAATTCTTAAAAATATTTGTAATTAGAAATAATACATAACGTAGTGTATCATTAAAGAAAAAAATTAATCCGTCGCTTAAAATTTCAAAGATGGTTTACATACATGTAAATTTTCATCATTACTACACTTCAAAATTAAGGGAATTATCGTATCTTTGGTATTTTAAATAGACAAAAAAGAAATATAAATATACATTAGATAATTTGAATTTTATTCTCAAAATGGTCGGTTTTCTTTCAACGTGTTACTCGGTGAAATATAATACTACATGGTGATCAATTTAAAATCACCATGAATATCGAATTACTATCTAGATTTCTGAAGTAGATGAATTTGAATGATTTAACATATTATACATCGGTTAAGGAGGAATTGTTCTGTATTTGAAACAAAGATAGTGATTACTTCAGAACTGTCATAACATAACATTCATAACGTTTATTCATGTTACTTCATAACATATTTTAGTGGGGTCAAACTTTCTTCGTTTAAGAAAAGGATGTGCATTTATTGAACTTCGATTCTTGTAAACGATCAAATGTTTTTTTTTAATAAATCTTGGTGGCAAGAAATCATGTTACACTGTATTCTTCGAATGCCAAAGCAAAATTAAGATCCCAACAAAAATAATATTTTCCTATAAGCCTGGGAACATCAGAAAATGTAAAGTTTTTGAGGTATAAATTAAGTAAAAATACCTAATTGTGAAGCCTTATTTGTTAAATGGAAGTATAATAACAAAGAATTGACTAGGGTTGGACACTTTAAAGCTTGAAAAAAGACGAAGAATATTTTTTTTAATTTCTCTCGTGCAATAGATACATATAAAATATCAATAAGAAAAAAGATCTTTTGTACTTTTGCAACCATAGTTTTGTCACTCTGGACTGAATGAAATTTTGGCTTTACATGAAAAGTTGTACACAGACATAAAAAAACTGTAGCAAATCATTTTTACATTTTTTTTAATTATAACGTTTTAATCTTTCCAGCATTTCTTATTACTATGACGATGCCACAAACATTGATGATCCAAACCGATAATTTAGGTATAAAACACTTCAAAAATTACTTGAATTATGCATCATTGTATAAAAAAATACTTAATATGGCTATCATTTTTAATATGAAATAACGTGTTTATGAAACATTGATGTGTCCAGTTGGCGGCTAACAGCGAAGGTTATTATCAAAGCAAGTCAAACTCCAAAGGTCAGTTCAGGCCGATATGTCAGTATCGTTATTAAAAGAAGGTCCTGCCACATTGAATACATCATTAAGATATGGTATTCAAAGTGATAATTGTACATAAGTTATTGCTAAGGTTAAAGATTAAGCGTGTCTTACGCCAAAGTCAAGATAATAATATTAAATATATTTATACTCTTGAAAATGTCTTGAAACGACGAAGTACAGAAGCTCTAGAATTATCTGTTCAAACGTTACGGCCGGGGTGGTTTTTTTTAAAGTTAGGGTTTTTTCAAAAGAAGGTTTAACTCTATAGTCAGAGTCGAGGGTAAAAATTTTGTTGTACCCCAAAAATGTTGCAAGCGATACGCCTGAAAAAAAAAAAATATGTAAGCTTTTGCTCCATTTACTCCATCACGATATCAGTTTGTAGTGTTTTTTGAAATAAACTATATTTAAATTTTAAATTGTGGCTTTTATTCAAGAGAGATATATTAGTATTTATCTTCAAATTGATCTTTTTTTAGGTAACTTAAAAAAACCTGCCCTAATATTGATTTCATATGATTTTGGCATATATGGTGTATGGAAAATGCATACCTTTACTGTAAAAAACAACTCTAAAAATCAACAAAAAGAGACACTGCCATTTTTAGAATTTTATTGATAATTAAGTTTATTTATATCACATTAAGTGTTCCTCCTGATCCCGTTCCGGAAGCGCCTGGTGTTGCAGTGCCACCTATCTGGTTAGTTCCTGTTGGTCTTTCCCTTAGAGCCCTCTCTTGGGTACCTGAAGTTTGGAATCGAGGTTCAGTGTTCTGCATCATTCTATCCATTCCCCTTCCACTCATTCGATCAGTAAAACGTCCTTGATCCTGCCTCATTCCGGGTGATCGCATCTGAGGCATTGACCTCATCATATCAAATCTTCTTTGTGGGTCGTTCATTGAATTCATGAATTGTGATGATCTTCGATTCTGACCTTCTCCCCTGCGTGGAAAACCAGTCATGCCGTCCAAAAATCTGTTTCTGTCATAGGGGAATCTATCATTATAGTTGTCCGAAGAAAACCTACCCGAACGCCTCGAAGATCTCGATTGAGAAGGCGTGCGAGGTCTACGGAAATCATTATAGTTCCTTCTTCTTGATAGTATATTCAGATCCAGAAGTCTACCATCTCTGAGCAGACCTAAAGGTAGGTTTTCGGTTAAACCGCCAGGAAGCAAATTGGTTACGCCGTCGGGAAGCAAGGACGAGGTGGTTTGAGAAAGCAACCCGGGAGACTCCCGAGATCCCCTTCCCCTTCTACGGAAATCATTGTAATTTGTTTCTGAAGCCAGAACATTTGCATCAATAAGAGAATTGTCTCCAGTGAAAGGTCTTCCACGAAGGAAATCTGACAGAAAGTCATTGGTTTCAGCTTGTGAACCATCCTGCTGGTTTGTGGAATCGGAAAGACGACCCCCTCTCCTCAACATATCGGACATACCATCACCTTGAGTCGTATCAAATCTGTCCCGTCCCATTCCAAAGTCATTAGGAGATCCACCAATAAACCTTCTTTGCTGGCCCATGCGATCTCCATCAAATCCAAATCTTCTAGAATCTTGTCCTCTCATCATCCCATCACCCATGTAAAACGGGTCTGACCTGGATCTTTGATTTCCTCCCAGCAGTCCGGTACGTCCACTCAACCCAGGCAGCTGACCTAGCCGGCCTGTAGGTCCTTCCAAACTGGAGAGTGGATTTCTACCAGATTGTCTAGTGTTTCCTTGCCTGTTTTGGAGGCTGTTTGGATCGGAAAACCTCCCGATGGCTCTATCGGACATACCATAGGGATCCATCATGCTACCCCCGCCAGTGTTGCCAGAGTTACTGCTTCCCCCTCCTCCTAAGGTGCCAAGAGGGGCGCCCAGGGTCCTGTCTATAAGTCCCTGCTGCTGTGCAGATGTCATTAACACGGCGGCGGCAAGAAGAAACGCTTGTCCCAACATGTTTCCTACAGTGAAAAAAATAACTGTTATCTCAATTTATACATATATAAATTATTATTTATAAAAAAAACCTGTTGAAATACTGTAAATGTGTTTATCGTGTACAATATAATTGGTTTTTGAAAAGACAGCTTTTCTTATCAATGTACTGTATATAATATAAAAAATGTATGTGGGTTTTTTTCCGCAAAAATAACAGGAACATTGCATTTACACAATAGAGAAAGATGCTTTTAAAAAAGATCATTAATACTTGTAAACCCTTTGAAAGATATGCAACTGATGCTAAATATCCCTGGCTAGTTGAAAGCTTACTCTTTGAAAAATAACATGAAATATCGTATAAAGTTGATTAAAATGAAATATAATAAAAACTTTTATTAACAATAATTATTTTGAGTATATTCTGTAATATTTTTATTCACTTTGATACTTTGAAGATATATTTAGCGACATAAAAAATTGATTTTTTTCAAAAAAATATCTTATATAAGTTAAAAGCGATAAAATATTGTTATTGCAACAATTATTGACTTTTAATTTATGGTTCGTATTTACGTCATGTCATTAATGCTTTAAAAATCATGAACTTCTGGTGCCTTTCATTTTTTAAAAAAAAAGCATATCTACATACTTAAAAAAAAATATGAGAAATGTTCTCATGTATTATAAGTTGTGTTGTTAAGTAGCCTGCAGTGAAATTCTCTTAATACTCTAGAATTTTTTTTTTATAGATACCCTCACAAAAGCTATTCCCCTTGTGAAGATTCTTATGTCATCATTATTTAATTTTTTTATGTGTAATTAAAATATTTTTGATCTCCGATTTTTTTTGTCCAGATTCTATTGAATTTTCGAACAATAAAATTGAAATAAAATTGAAATTTCATTGATGATGATATATTTTTTTCCAACTAAATATCAGTCCATCAAAAACTAAGAACAAAAAAAAAAAAAGAAATTACCGATTCATTTTATTTTTTATCATTAGCATCGGGTCCCTTTATCATCGATATATTGATAAAATGTAAAAAAGAACATAAAAATGATATGTCGCTGAGACAGGTCTAGTTTTTATCGTATTAAAAAGACAACTTATTTCAAAGATAAAAAACTGATAACATTCAGAAAATTAGAAAATAAAAATATATGTCTTTTAAACATGTCTATCTTTATATTTTTTCTTATAAAAATAATTGCTTACGTCAAATATAATATGATTGGATTTCAAATTTTAATAAAGATTTTTTTGTGTGTTTGTGAAACATGTGCTTAATGGATGAAGAAAATATACTTTGTCTTAATATTTCACAAACAGTGAATACTCAAACTAAAATAAATGTTGTGCATTTAAATTTAGAAACTTACATAAGGATTTTATGCATTTTTAAAGTAGTTTCTAAAAATGTTTCACCTACCTTTTGTCTTCCCTACTACCAACGGTGGCGGATGACGGCAGAAAAAAGGGTTATGCAACCTCTTATAGTCACTAGAAACGCATAAATCATTTTGCTGGATAATTAATTAAATCTGATGATAATAGATGGAATTCGGATACCACGAAGTATGATGTTAAATCAATTTTCACACTACTAAGAATTAAATGAATGATGTTGGTCCTGCTACGTATATCAGACACAGATAATGCTATTGTTGCTGTTTTATAGATGATGATTTATTATCAAAGGTCCTCTTAATATATTCTTTCTTGTTCTCGTTTCTTTCAGTCATCAGAAGAACTTTATTCTGTCTACTTGAATTACGAATAATAAATATGTGTTCACTTTTTTCTTTCTTTTTCCTAGAATTATTCCATTGATTTTTTTTTAGTTTTGCAGAAGAAGACTTTTTTTCAACATTTAATTTTTCCCGGTCTTTCGGATGAGACCGTATAAACCAGTAGAGGTGGCCCTATGTGTACTATAAATTCTAATTTAAAGCAGTAGATGCTGGCTATAACGGTTGTATTTATTAAGCTTGCATAAGATTTATGACCTCATATAAAACCATACTTTCAATGGCCCTGAGTGCCGAGCACTGTGAATTCCTAATTTAACGCGAGGAAATAATTATCAGTAATTTTGCGAGAAGCGTCACTCGCGAATTAAAATTACTCGCTTTTATTTTAATGATGTTGAAGTCTATGTAAAATCTCCTGATAAACCAACCATTTGCAGGTTATTATACTCGCGATTTGACGTTGAAGAGCCCATTCGCGATAATAAGTACTCGCGAAAAATTAGGAATCTACAGTAGAGGACAAAATGTGCAGCTCTCCACCGGCAAGTGGTGGCGTCTCCATATGAGTAAAACATTCTCTAGAGGGACGTTAAACAATATACAATCAATCAATCAATCAACTTTTTTTTAAAAATTATGATTCCACCTTTAAAGATTATTTGTCTTTTCCGTTGTCTTATTTACATATTTAGAATTTCAGAAAGCAATTATCCCTGAGATGTTATTTCGCGATCATGACACGGGTGTGACCGGTCGTCAGAGAATGTTCACTCTTATATGGAACCTGATCAGAAATTTGATGCTTGTGTGTTTCCACTGCTCCATTTTTCTTATCCTTTAATTTACATTTGAGTTGAAAAACTAGTCGTTATATACATGTATTATTTCTTCTTCTTTTTTTTTTTTTTTTTTTTTTTTTTTTTTTTTTTTTTTTTTTTTACATTTTTGTCGCTGTTGAATTGCTGCTGCAAGTTTGGTGATTTTGTTATTTTGGTCAGAGCTGATACCTGAATTTAGACAATTTTAAAAAAGCGTATCGTATCGTTTTGATTGTTTATGATGTAACTTTGTACGCAACGATAAGTCCGGGTAGCAAAAAAGATAAACAAATAAGCAAGACAAATATAAAAATATAAAGAAATCTAAAGAATAGTTTAGTTAGGGTCTTTTTTTTTTTAATTTAACAAGGAGTAGAGGAAACATGATCTTCATAAAGAAATAAATATTATTAAGGTTCAGTCTTATTATACAATTTACATTTTTTATATCTTTCATAACATTTTTTTGTAATTGATGCATTTAAATACGGGGCAACATAAAAAAAAGACCCAACTAACGATGCTTTCAACATGCACAGAAACGTTTCTTTTAATTTTCTTTACCATTAATCTATGAAGAATAATTAAGATAAAATGAAATTTAACAAAAAAGATACTCGTATGTCCGTACAATTAAGTGATGTTTTATTATTTTTCGTTAAGAGTTCTAGCCAGGGGTTACTACGTACTCAGGTTGGTTTAATAATCAGAACACATATTTTTTAAGAAAAAATTAAGATAAGGTGCATGTGACCTACGAACAGATCCCTATCCTTGTTTTGGCTGAATAATTACAGTGAGCGTCTCGCTTCGCTCTACAAATGTAGAGTAATAAAATTTGATTCATCCTTATTGCAGGTTATAAGTACAATGCATATCGGGGAAATTTCTCATTGGATGAGGTCGAGATCCCTAATTCGACTTGAAGTATTTCCACTTTCACAATTTTTAATGGTTCAAAGTACATTAACTGCATTAATGTTCATTTAATATAGTCTTTAAAATCAAAGTTACATTGCAGGTTCAAGAAAATGTTCAACCAAGCCTCTTTCTTTACTCCTCACTAAGATATTAACAGAAGTGAAGGAAAAACTTCAATAGTACTGTGAAACAATATATTTAAGAAGTGGTGTTAATTAGATGTGAAGACTAAAAAATTCTGAAGAACGTTTGGACAATTTGAAATCAAAAGATTTAGCTAAAATCAACAGTTAAAATACTTACGACTATTCAACTTTATACACAACCATTCCGCACGATAAAAAAGTACAGACTTTTTGAAATCATTGATAGATGATATTTCAATAAAAACGAAACTCGTAAATTTACTTACCTTGTCATTTGTCATACCAAAATTATTTTGTTAAAACACATTCTGATTGCACAACCAAGTACTCTGAAGTTGACATCAAATAGATGCTCAATTTTCTGATTGACAATATCTATGTGAATTTTGGAGACCAGATCTTCCAACAATCTATTGGAATTCCTAGGGTACAAATTGCGCTTCTTTATTAGCAGACTTATTTTTATATTCATATGAAGCAGAATTTGTGCAAAATCTTATGCGTGAAAAGAAAAAAACACTTGCTTCTGCCTTTAACTCGACATTTAGATTTATCGACGACGTATTTTCAATTAACAATGGTAATTTCTATCCCTATTTCATATATGTCAATACGATGTATCCTGGTGATCATCAGATAAAAGATACCACAGAGTCTGACACATCTGTGAACAATTTTTAAAACGAGGTAAATTATTGAAAAACAAGTTGATGAATATAGAACATCAGCAGTCTCTCTTAAAGTCAGCATTTTGATTGTTCTATGGTCGATACAGTGACCTTGTCAAAAAATATAATTTATTATTGAGTAAAATGCTGAGTGACGTTTTTCAAACTAATTTCTAGTCCATTGTTTGCAAAAAAACATTATGGAATCAGTATGAAAATATCCCAGTGTTGCTCATAAATGTTATTCAATGCTTACTTTTTAGCTCATTTGTTATACAGATTCAAATATTGCAGCCTTATAACGAGCAAGCAAAAGGCTTACGACTCAAATTTAAGGAACAGAACTGCTCTTTTGCATTTTAAGAACTGTCCTTCTGCCGAAAACCAGTCATTCACTAAATTAAACTCCTACACAGCTAGGTTAAGAATGCTTTAGGAAATACGCTTTTTGATATTCCGAAAAAGATAAATTTGTTGTTGTACTTTTTAAGCATAATTTTTGATTCATTGGAATTTTAATTTTTTTATATACATGTATATGTATGAGGTCTCTGCCGAGTTTGGCCAAAGTGATTTCATTTACATCAGCTATTTGTCATGTGACATTTATGACCATTTTTGATAATATTTGTTATACGGCTACAAAAGTTGTAAAACTTCAGCGATAAATTTTAATTATGAAATTTATTTTATTTTCTTAAAGGCAAATTGCTTGACCAAAAAAGTGCTAAGTTCAACTTTAACATGCCCCACTACCTTTCCCCACCATGCCGGGGAATTATACAAAATACCAGTTTCTCAGCATCTACATATTATATTATAAGCAACTGCTGCCAAATTTTCAGAAAAACAGGAATTATTTATTAATCTGTGCATTATCTTTTTACTAGATCATTTAAATAGATAATACAAGTTTATATCCAAATATTTTCCTTAAAAGGAGAAAAAACAATCTTGGCTATATGCAGCTTGTTTTTGCATAAACTCTTGCATAAACTATTAAAAGCACAACTGAGTGAAAATGTCAGTTATTGAACTAACACTACATGATATTACATAAACTTATATAACAAGTGACTGGGCTTAAAACAAAATAAATGCTAGTAGTTAATGACAAATTGACTAGTTAATCATCCTGACAATTCAAGACATAATTCTTCCTAAACACATGACAAAAAAGCCTGGGTAATGGCAGTATAATGGTAGAAAAACACTTTCAAAGCAAAAAGAGTGGTCACAAACAAGCCATTAAGAAAGGCAACATGCTGCCTTTAAATATTCAGCAAGAAGTCATCACATGAAATTAATGATTTTTTAAAAATATTTTAAGAAAGGGAAGGGGCTCTGAAATGCATATGGCTTCAGAATGAAGATGATGAACTTACTTATATTTAAATCATGAGTCACTTATGATAATAAGTACAATATATATTAGTTTTAGTTTAGTTTTGTTTTGTTTTTTTTTTTTTTTTTTTTTTTTTTTTTTTTGATGTTGCAAATTGCTCTTTTGGTGAAAATATTAACGCAAATGTACAATTAGCAAACACGGACCTCCAAAACATCAGAGCCGGGATCAGGGGCCATGGAGAAGTAAGCATCCCCTCCCGACCGGTCACACCCACCTTGGGCTTCTAGTTAAGTTTTGAAAAATAGGTGTAAGCATATAATTTATTATCGGGAGGAAAATATTGATTTTGAGTCATTTTTGATGCGCATAATGGCATTTAAAAAATCACCTAATAAACATCAAAAGAATAAAAATAGTGATAACCATGACAACCATAACACCCTAATAATCCTGATCACTTTGGTTGACATGATACAATTATTCAGGCAATTTTGTTTGTAAGAATTGGAATAGAATTCATAAAGCAGATATTTTTCTCTCGTTCCCTTGCAATCACTTTCTTAAGGTATTTGTACATGTATTCATTGTACATGTATAACGACCTCATTTTGTACCTCATAAATGAATGGTCAGGTTTTCTAAACCAGGGTAACACGGTGTTATCAAATACACTGTAAAATTTCTCGACCATAGAAATTTACACCTCTGATTATTGTCAAATTATCTGAACCCTGAGTTTTACATTGAAGTCTATGGGCAGCACATGTTTTTTAGTATACTGTTAAAAGTAATTTGAATTTTAA